GGTGGGACGCGACGCCGTAGACGCCGGCCGGCCTGCTCTCTCGCATCGGCCCGTAATTTTTACGACGTGTGCGGCGGCTGGTCTGTTTACCCTCTCCTCCGTCCGTCCGGCAGTGCCCCGCCCCAGTCCGCCCCGCCCCGTCCCGCCCCGCCACGCCCCGCGCCCCGCCCGCGTGTCCTTCCACCTCCATACATGAAGTGACGCCGGCCGCGGCCCGCCACGCCAGGCCGGTGTGCTACGCGGCTTTACACCGCTGCAATAACCTCGGAGCCGGCGCACCTCGGCTCGGATCCGATGCTATGGTCCAGAGACAAGTGAGAGGAAGATCTGTTTACCTACTCACTCCTGCGCCCCAGCGGGCGGCCGCCAAACGTTTCCGGGAGATGTTTGCGGTGAGCCTCCGGGGGTGGAGGACGCCGACGTCCTCCGTCCTCCTCCAGGTCCTCCCACATCAGGTGGACGGCGTACCTCCCCCACAAACTCCGACGATTTTTCCGGATTTGCGTCATGGTCCAGTCCAGACCGGGCGAGTGGGCGAGTAGGCAGGCGGCAACCCTCCCACACTCGTGCATTGCGGTACAGCCCTGGGGTTGGGGTGGTCCTCAGAGATCCTGTCCTCGCGTGTGCTGCTCCTGCTGTGCACCACTCCTCCGAGACCCCCGCTGGGCCCATCTCCTAGGCCCTCCTGGACACCCGCGTCCCGCTGCTCGCGTGGCGGCGCGCGCGCGTCCCGGAGGCGAGACTGGCACGCGATAGCGTTGCCGCGGAGCTGTGTGTGGTTGTGTGTGTGTGTGTTGCTGGTCTTGTCGTGCTTTTGTTCTCTCGCCTCGCCTAGTCGCCTAGCGGTGTCGCGTTGGGTCCTGTTCGGCCCTGTTCCGCGCACGGAGAGAGGGTCCGCTGCGGCGGCGGCGCGCCGGGCCAACGCCTTGTCGCTGGAGATGTTTCCACCACCATGTCTCCAACTGCTCTCTTGCGGCGCCGCGCTGGTCGTACGTCGCCTTGCACTGCACGTCCAGGTCGATCCGGTCCAGCCAGCCTGGCCGCGCCTTGCCGGGCGAGGTGCCGCGCGTTGCGGAGCATCGTCGTCGTGGCGAGCCTGGTGGTGCAGTGGAACGCATTACAACATGTCAGGCAGCCCCACACGCACGTCCGCGCGTTTGCCGTGGTGCCTCCATCTTCCTCTCTCACACTCGCACCGCTGTGCCTGGCCCGCCTTGCTCTCCCACACTGGCCTGGCCGCGGCACTAAAGCGAGCAGGTTGGCGTCGTTCCCGTCGTGCGCGAGCCAGCCGAGGATGGGCGGGGCGCGTCCTGCTGCTGCTCGCGTGGTGGCGTGAGTGAGGGTGGGTCAGGGAAGGCGCTCTCCACGAGGCGCTCTCACGCCACACACGTACTTGCGTAGGGCTGCGAGGTATAAATTATTTGAGTGCTTTTCTAGGAACGCCGCATGCATGCATGGTGTCTGTTGGTGCACATGCCGGCCCCTCCGCCGCGCTCCGAACAGCCTCCGCAGGCGGTAAATGGCCCGGCACCCGTTGTGCTCCGCGCAGCTCCGCGTGTGTGCTGCGGGTCCAGGAGGGAGGCCCCGCCGCGCCACGCTCCGCCTCTGCCCGCCACGCCACATAAGTCGCTCATGCTCTTTTACCCGCCTCGATTCTCTCGCGGAAATAGACGCGCGACGGACTTTAGAGCTGCGCCGGTGCAGTGGTTCTGGTCTTTCGTCTTTTCTTTCGGAAGGAGTCGGAGGAGGAGGAGGAGTTCTGAGGCACGACGCGCGGCACGACACGCGGACGAACGCGACCAATGCGACCGCGCCCCGCGCGCTGCTTCCGGCGCGGCGGCGGCGAGACTTCCGCAACTGCGCGGGGAAACGTGTTTTTGACACCTCGGGAAAAATCCTAAATTAAAATCGTCCAGTATATCAGCACGAAGGTGCCGCTAACACGGCCCGCCCACTTCCGCATACTAGTAAGTGAGACTGTGAAGGTTTGGCCTATCGTGCTTGACCAGGGCGTCTCACAGCACAGCCCGAGCGATAGGCAACCCGCCCGCACGCGTGCGCATAGTGCAGCCTAACCTTGGGAGACTCGAGTCTAACCACGGCGCTAAGCGAGGACACGCTAAAAGTGGTTTCCAAGCAAAAGTGGCAATTTTCGAGCCAAAAGTGCTTGAAAATTACCATATTTGCTTAATCAAGCAGTCACTTTTAGCGTGCATACCGGGTGGCTGATTCACGCCTCGCACTTCTCTAGTTATGCTGTACCGCATGCACGAGTGCGGACGGGTTGCCTACTCGCGTTGCTCGTAAGCCGCCGTGGACAGGGGCGATAGGCAAGCCCGCCCGCACTCATGCATGCGGTACAGCATAACTAGAGAAGTGCGCGGCTTGAATCAGCCACCTGGTGAAGATGAAGTGAAGGCAAACCCACCCGCAGGCCTTCGTGCGCTACAACAAGGAAAAGCTCACCTGGGATTGCAAATGTTTAACATACTATTTTTTTCCCGAGTACTTATTGCTGCACAACAACGGCACCTTTCTCCTACTACTCTCCAAAGCCCGGCTCACTTCATCTCACACTATAATCCCGCGGAGCTGGCGCTGCTGCTGCCGCCGCCGCCGCAGCGGAAACGGATTGGTTTGATGGAGACCGCCGCCGCGCCGTTTCACGCGCTTCCGATCGACGCGATTCTATCGCTAATCGAAACACGCCCTGCCAGGCCGCCAGGCTCCTGCACCAGAAGAGTATAGTTTTGTGCCTCCGCCCTGCCTCCCCCAGCCTCACCAGCCAGGCATCTTATTTCCTTCTCCCCATTTTCTTTTTGAATTTGTCGGGGCTGTCAGGGTCTGCTGCTGCCTGCGCCGCCGCGGAGCGAGCAGCCCCGGAGCGCGTTTGCTGCTACTGCATCCTGTTTCGTTAGACAAGGCCTTATGCCCCCCGCTGCGTATTGCCCTGGAAGGCGAAGCCGGGGCGGAGCGCAGCAGCAGCGCCAGAAAGCTGCGCGCGGCGGTGGCGGCGGTGCTGGCGCTGCAACTTCGGATAATGTACGTGGTGGTCTGAAAAGGGAAATGTGGTTGGAAGGAGAGAAGGGGGGGGGAGGGGTCTGGCCGGCCATAGAAATCGAGTGAGTGAAACGATACGGCGAGAATACACGTGTGTTGACGACCGCATCGCGCGGGCTTGATCGATCCCGCTTTGCCGGGGCGCCCCCCCCCCTTCCCCGCCACTCCTCACGTTCTTATGGCGCGGTCATTGATGGTCGTGGTCAGATCACGAGGATTGCGAGGATCGCGCCGGTTCAACTTTCGCCGTGTACGATAGGCCGATGGGCCGGCCGGACTGGCAGGAGGCGGGCAAGGCAAGGCGCGCGGGGGGGG